GGTACTTCCGGTGAGCATTTTTCGATAGTTTTTTTTATCCTGTGACTGCAACTGATGAAATTCCCGCTACAAAGGAATGCCGTCCCTGCTCGACGGAACTATGGCAATGCAATCAATGGCCCTTGGGAATTCGAATGGTCTGGCACTATAATGGTATCACTGAAGTGAGTCTATTTTCTTGTCCCTAAGAGAAATCGACAGTCGTTACTCTCCATTATCCTGCAGTATATTCTTCCAGGCACAGAGATATGGTCTGATGAATGGAGGGATTGCGCTCTGAGTCACAACGGATACGGTTTCTTACGTAAAACAGTTATTCACTAGGAAAACTATGTTGATCCAATAACGGGATGCAACAACGATTGTAATGTCATTAGGGGTAAGTAAAATCCTGAATAATCAAACGATGACCTGGAACCAGGGCCGGATTAAGAAGTTGCGAGGCCCGGGGCAAGTGGATTCTTGGGGCTAACCCCCCCCCCCCCCCCTTAATCCGGCCCTGCCTGGAACAACGCAAGAAATGCTACAGTTCCATTTATACGAGACCTGGTTGCGTCCAATCCATTTTATCAAACATTGGCGTATTTAGGCTGAAGAGTCAGGTTAGCCGGGCAGTAGAGCGAGAACGCCTAGCCTTCCTCTGATATAGCCAAGCTAAATCAGAGGAAAATATTACTTCCAAGGGAGCGCCAGTGAGGCGGCCGTCTCCGTGCCCCCCTGTAAATTACGTCACTGCACTCAGAGAAACCGGTAAATCGAAACGATAGACTTCTGTCAATTTTCGCATTTCGATTTATTATTTTTATTTTTTATTTTTTCAAGAGGAAAAGGCATTCTAACATGGAATTCTGATTGAAATCAGTCCCTTCCCGATCGTGCCGGATCGCCTGAAAGGAGTCTGCAAAATCGAAATGCGTCTATAACCGAATCTATAGCTGAATCGAATTGAGTGACCTTGCATCATCGAAAAGCATGTCAACATCCGTCTTCCACTTCATCGTGTCGAAGGACCATGAAGGGCCTATGGACGACTTGGGATGTTGAAAATGTTAATATAACCAGCACAGTCTCTGATTCTTTTAAGGAAATGGTCAGGATTTCAGGTCAAACCATTCTGAAATTACAAAAATGACGGCAAGCACCACCTGATCATTCGGCATGGAATGACCAGTTCCCAGAGGGATCCCAGTTTTTTTTTTTTTTTTCC